TTTCATACAGTTCCTCATGTGGTGGTGACCCCCAAACATAAAATTATTTTTATTGCTACTTCATAACTGTAATTTTGCTACTGTTATGAATCGTATGACCCCTGTGAAAGGGTTGTTCGATCCCCAAAGGGGTCGCGACCCACAGGTTGAGAACTGCTGCTATAGACTAACACAGCCCCACAAAATAATGAGGTGCACAAGCCGTGGATTTAGCTGATCAAACACTATGTTGGAATAAAGACCAATCAGGATGCAAGAATAAGGGCCAATGGGCAGGATGGGGTTGAGGTGAGCCAGTAGGTTCCCATTACCCAATCCCCTTGAAACCTAATGTAATGCCTCTACACTGGGGTCTTCTTCAAATCTTGAGAGGCCCTGCTTAATCGTTGCAGTGAACTGTGAGTATTAAATCTCTACTCCGCTTTCTGTCCTACTGTATGGCCTCATCTTTCAGTCTTACATACGTGGCTCCCTCTGTTGCGGTGACAACGGCTGAGAGGGACATTCCAGCACCTCCTGTGAGAAACATGATGGGCACTCCGATACCATCTCAGTTCCTCTCAGTAACTGGTGGGTCAGTGTAGCCCCTCTGAACTGGACGGTACCCCATGGGTCTCCAGAGGGAGAACTGGGGCACTCAGTCTTATGCCATATGATGTTACCAATGGATAATCACAAATGTTTACCAATGAATGTTCAAGAAATCCAATCGGTACCTACCTTAGCAAGAGAGAGGTTTTATTAGTTGATGTTGCAAAATCAGCCACTCAAGCCTCAGATGCCAAAATGGGCTGGCTCGCCCAACAATGGTTTCCTGAGCATTCTATGTTCCCTAGTTGGTGAGACCTGCCGCAGGCTCCTCATTGGCCGAGTACTATGGGGTTATCCATCTTTCCGGGGCATCGCCTACGTCCTTAGTTGAAGATTTCTACCTCTGGGAAAGATTCCTTTCCCGGCCCTCCCTTGATTCACATGGTGCCATTCCACACATTAGCTATCAGCCTGTTATCTGGCTACTTAGGAACTTCTTAGCTTTTTGTTCCCTTAATTACTGCAGATGGACAAGTTTGGGATTCATTTCTCACTGTCTGATAATTCACATTATCTCACCATAATGTCAATGAGTGACTAGGAGTAGTGAGTAATTTTCATAAGTCTATTGACTCTTTGGGTGTCATCTGTGGTGAACTGTCTGTTCATGTCTTTTCCCACTTTTAAACTGGGTAATTTTTTTCTTGAGATGTTGCAGTTTTCTGTAGATTTTAGCGTTTAGTCCCTTGTCTGTTCTCTCATTGTCAAATCCTTTAAGTACTCAGTGAGTTCTCTTTTCACTCTTTAGATGAAGTCTCTTGATGCATATAGGCATCTCATTTTTCATAGGCCTATTGTCCTTTGCAGATGTCCCTGGCCTCCTGCTCCTGTTTTAAGGGTACTAAAGAGAACCCAATCTCAAATACAATTTAAGGAGAATGTGCATGCAGCCATAAAAGAGACAAAGACAACACAGACACAGCATCTGGATGAGGGAGGTACTTTCCAATGCATTTTGCCTTGGACCAAGATTAGCTACATCCTTGATTAATGATCAAAAGACCCTTCCAGACTGGCTGGAGCTGGGGATTTGGGAGACCTATCCTTCCAAGTTTTTATAAGAACTAGGTCTCCAGGAAGACCCAAGGGGGCAGCTTTTCTTTTCTCCTTGGGCCTGGGCAAGCCCATATTGACAGAATGTCTCTTGGCATTGGGCTACTCTTATGGCATATCGCTGTATTAACGACATGTTGGCATCTACAGCTGGCTCTGTTACAAGGAAAGTACACCCATATTGAACTTCATAGCTGCGTAAACACATACGGTGTCGGCGGGGGGTTAATTCTGAGATATAACAGAGCTGTCAGTGCATCTTTCCAGTTCATCTGAGTGTCCTGTGTCAATTTCCTGAGGGTTAGTTTTAAGTGTTGATTAATTCTCTCTGCTTGCCCTGAAGATTGTTGTCTCTAAGCACATTGGAGACAATAAACTAGACTTAAGTGTCTAGCTACTGCTTGGAGTCTTAGGAAGGAGTTTAGGAGAGAGTAAACAGCCCCAGGTAGGAAAAAATTCACTGGCCTACCAGCCACATCCGTGCACAACCAGGGTGCCAGACCAGTAACAGCTGCTGGGCCACCTGGCTTGCAGACACACCAGCAGACCACGCTCCTCTTGGGTGTTCCCCATAGGTCAGCGCGCCACCCCGTGGCCAGTTTGCTTACAACGATAGCATGGCCTCATGGAAGCCTATTTCTATTAGGGCATTCCTTTGCCTAGTGACCTAAAGGCAGGGACACATGGCACTTTGTACCCTGTATAGGGGTCTTTGGAACCTGGAATGGTGCTGATTAGCTATGATGGCCAGTACCTGCTCATGCCTGGCATCCTTCTGTTTCTCCTTCTCCTGAGCCTCTTGCTCCCTGTCTCTATTATAAAAGGTAGCATTGGCAATAGTAACCGTCTGGTCTAGAGTAGCTCCTCCAGGCGCTTGCACTAACTTCCCGAGCTTCTTCTGAATGTCTGATGTAGCCTGTGTGAGAAATTTGTCTTTTAAAATGATCTGCCTTTCATGAGTCTAAATCTACCATGGTTTGCTTATTCAGTGCTTCTTTCAGCTGCTTCGAGTTTACAGGATGTTTATTAGGCTCCTCGTTAATAGCTATTACTTAATAACTGATGGCCTTTTTCCGCCCTGACTTTAGTCCAGCTTTGACACACACTTCCTTGCCCAGTTGTCAGTGGAATCATGACAATCCCAGGTGGGGTCCATTGAGGTCCCAGCTATTTCTCCTACTGTATAGTTATCATTCACCACATGTAAGTCATTTGTAAATTTCTTAGCTTCCTTTAATACTCGCTCTTTCTCAAAATCTGTCATAGTTGTGTCCTAGAATTATCATTACATCCTTCCAGGCCAAGTCATAGCCAGGGTGAGGTGCTGAAAGTCAGCTCTGTACTGCTCTGGATTGTCTGAGTAGCTGCCTAGGTCTCTTTTAATCTGCTTGAGTTCAATGAAGGTGAAAGGATAATGAATCATTTGAGAACCAAATTCCCCAGTTGCCTCTATCAAAAGTAGGACTTTGGAGGGGCCCTCTTCCTTCTCAGGTTCTGTAGGTTCCGTGTCAGAAGGCAGTGCATTTGGGCTAGCGGCCAAGGGGCTATCAGCTTCAGACATTGGGCCCTTTATAGGGTCTATGGTACATTTGGAACAAAGGTTTTGACTGTCTCTCAAGAGGGGAAATGCCAGGACAAGAGAGATTTCAGGCCACTTTCCCAGCCTGTTTCAGAAAAAGCTCTAACTGTATTAAAGAGGGAAGAGTGTATGTATGAGCCCCTAATAAAATGATTTTTTAAAAAAAGAGGGAAGAGTGTGCTATGCCCTGACCAGGATCACTTAGATTGTATTGGGGTCAGATGGAGTTGCAGAAGAACAAGGAAACAAAGACCAAATGCCAAAAACAAAACAAAGCATTGTGATTTTAGCTTTTTACAAATTGGTTAGACAAAGGCTGTGCTCTGGTGAAAGTCCTCAGGGTGCAAAGCGTCTACAATGCTGAAAAGCGATGGGGCAGGTGATTGTGCAGCAAGGTGCTGCAGTGGGAGTCCTAGCCCTTAACACCCATGCCTTGGCGGGTGGAGTCTGGAACCGGCTAAGGTGCACGACCTCCACTCTGGCAAGGTGCCCTCGCTTGCGGAAGGAAGGAAGGAAACACCCAGCGGCCCTCAGAGTGTCAGGCTCATAGTTCTCACATCCCTGGGCCTTTCTGGGAAAGGCCGATGGGGCTTGAGCTTGGCGGCGCTCGGCTTTCGATTGCTCTGGCCTGACGGCTGACGCCGTGTAAGCGGGCAGGACTCTGCGCTCGAAGGATCGAGCCTGCCCATAAATTTCGCCCGCTTCCCGGACGCCCCGAGCCATAAGCTGTGGCGGCTGGTTCGGGGGATGTCGAGGGGCTCGAAAGCGGTGCTGGGCCTGTCAGTGCTGCTGACGGCGGCCACCGTGGTTGGGGTGCATCTGAAGCAGCGGGAGGACCAGCAGGTCGGTGTCACGTGCCGCCTCGTTCGGGGCCTTTTGTGGCGGCGGCGGCCTTGGGCTCCTTCCTAGCTTCTCCGAGCGATTCTTCGGCTCCACCTCGCGTCCGTTCCCGTCGGCCTGACTTTCCCTCCTTGGTTGGCGCGGCCTGGGGTCCCAGCCCTTCGCTCTTCCTCTGTTCTCGTTGCAGTGTCCCGTCTGCACCCTGGAAAACCCGGGGTGACCCCGTGCGGCCTGCGCCTCGTTTCCGGCCCTCGGGGAATGTGGGCTGGCTCTCCGGCGCCCGCGGTCCGGATTGCAAACCGTGGTCCACCTGCAGCGAAGCGGGCTTTTCGGCATCTCTTAGGGCAGCTACCGCGTTGCGGGCGGAGGAGGGGTGGGGAGGGGTACCTGGGCAAGTGTTCCCAAATTCCGAGCCCCTTCACTCTCAGCTCAAGACCGTGGCTAACCTAAAGCTGATGTGTTTTTGTGCTATCGGTGATTCCGTCCCGTGATAAAGGCAGTTTTCCTGCATCCACCCATAACCTATTTGTTGGGGAAAGGGACAGTACTAGGAAAACGCGATTCTAGGCACAATAGAGATTTTCTTTTTGAGACTTCTATCTCTGCAAAAATCGGTGATCATTACTGATCATTGGACTGACCGTCCATTCTATTTCTTTCACTTAATATTTTCTCTCATATTCAAGTTTCCACAAATACTAAGTTTTTGGGAATCCATCAATAAGGAAACATAACTACTTCAAAAATCTATGTGATTCATAGCAGTGCTGAAATTTGAGTGTGAGCACCCGAGTCTAGGCCATTGCCAAACTTTAAGATAACGGCTTGAACCTATTTTGCCAGCGATGGAAGTAATGAGATGGGTGGCTCGTGTTAAGAGTCTTCTCTGGAATTGTGTGCTGTGTTTGCAGAGATGAAGCAGATTGTGGCCAGGCCCTGCTGCTGAGGGTGGGGATTCTAGCAAACCCCACCGAGCAGCTTGTACCGCCCCCGAAGTACTCAAACGCACACCGCTGCGAAGAACTAAGCAAACGTTTTCTTTAAGCACAGAGACATTTCACAGATACGTTTTCTTTAAGCATAGAGACATTTCACAGATACGTTTTCTTTAAGCATAGAGACATTTCACAGATAAATTAAACGGGTCCCCCTCTTGAGGTGAGAAGCCCCCATAAGCATACATAAGGTACACCTTTAGAACAGGTGGGTCCCCGTGAGTTTAAAAAGGGTGCTATCTAGAAGAATGCTTGCTTTTCAAGGTCCGTTCAAGGGGATGTCAATCACAGTTCTGCAGGTGGTCGAGCAGCTTTCTAATTAGTTTGCACAATCTGTCCATGGGTCTCCTGCATATTTTCTTTATCTCCGGTACAGCACCTTGTCAGGGTGTTTCAGTTTCATCTCAGGCTACAGTTCAGTGTGAGGATGCTCACCAGACGAGGGCCTGGCCTCAAAGACAGGGAAGAGCCATGGGGAGATGGAATTCAAGTTGGGAAAGTGGGGATAGATTTGGAGTACACTTCAGGGGACTTAGAAGGAGGGAAAGGTAGTGAGCCTGAGAACTATGAGATGGAGCAGGGGAGGGTGCAGGCATGTCAGCTGTAGTTCTGACGTAAGTGAAGTCAGTGATTTTCAGAGTATGAGGAAGAATGGGTTCGGGCTTGGTTCTGGACACACATCAGCTGTTCCTGGAACTTTGTACAATCTAAGTCTTGGGCTCTACCTCAGACCCAAAAAACTTGTTTGAGTATTAAAAAAAAAAAAAGAACCAAGAAATTTCAAAGGTCAGGAATGTTGAAATAGCAAGTGTATGTTTTGTTTTTTTTAAAACATTTTATTAGGGGCTCATACAACTGTTATCGCAGCAAGTGTATGTTTTAAGTTGTTTATATTAGTTATCTTAGTTATTAGTGATGACTCGATTAATTGATGTTTTGAAAAGGCAGTTTTTGGTGCCATGTCCATATTCTGGGATTTACAACCTGCCTTTTTAGTGCTAGTAGAGATGACTAACATGGTTGGGATTTTATTCCACCCCCCTCCCAGCACCTTCTCTGCCTGCTAAATGGATTGATAATGTTAAAAATAATGTTTACTTCCTCTTTGCATACCAGAGGAAGCCAGGTTCTTTACTTTCTTGCATCCTTACAGCATGTTCAGATCTTAATGGTTATTTTTTTTTTCTATTGATATTTATTAGCTGGGAAAATTGCTAAGAGGAAAAGTAGTTCACAGCAGTCACTGTAGTTAAGTTTGTAAAGCAGCAAGTATCGATTAAACTTTAATTAAAAGAATTGAGCCTAGTGTCAGATTTTTTTCTTTCTTATTTCCTATTTTCTATACTACATGTTTAGGCATTTCTTGAAATAAGGTAGAAAACAATTTCACTAATAACAGCATATTACCAAATTTATTTGATGAGATTTTTTAAAATTATATTTTACATTTGTGTAGAAAATTAAAATTGAGTTCTTAGTATTTGTAATCTGAGAGTTTTAAGTTTATTTTGGTAACATTTCATTTGGATTAAAATAAGCATAATAATGGTTCAGGGGTTCAGGATGTTACTGAAGTCCTTTTTTCTAACATTTCTAGAGACTTCGTGATGGAGTGATCAGAGATATTGAGAGGCAAAATCGGAAAAAAGAAAATATCCGACTGTTGGGAGAACAGATTATTTTGACTAAGCAACTTGAAGCTGAAAGAGAAATGATATTTAAAAAGGGATCTCAGAAAACATGACTTGACTATGAAATGTTGATGGGACAGACATTGCTGAGCGTGTGTTTTGTCCAGATGGTGAATAGTTTAATGGCATCTTCAATGTTTTTTGGGTCACTATCCATTTAAACTCGGTTAAATAAAGAACAATGGATCCTATATTTTAAATTAACTGATGTAAATGTCTTCCATGTCTGTGGGCAGATGTTCTACTAAAGAGTTTCTGACTGTAAGACCCTGGTAGTAGCACATTTAATCTCAGTGTCCAGAACTTGGGATTGTAACTCAAAGCTACTTCTGCACGGGTGAGACGGGATGGATAGTAACATCCACCTGGGTAGTTTGATAAGTCGGCACGATGATGAAGCTACAAGAACATCTACATCTGAAGGGCTGGAGGAGGGGGAAGTGGAGGGGGAGACACTCCTGATTGTGGAGTCAGAGGACCAGGCATCAGTAGACTTATCTCATGATCAGAGTGGGGATTCCCTCAACAGTGATGAAGGAGACGTGTCCTGGATGGAGGAACAGCTGTCTTTCTTTTGTGACAAGTGTCAAAAGTGGATTCCAACCAGTAAGAAACTTCTTCATTCCTTTGGTTTGTTGATTGCCATGTGAAGCTTTGTTTTTCCAAACGATGAAAGAAATAAATATAAATCTAGATGCAAATAAAAGGATAATTATTTCATTGACCAGCCATAAATTTATATGAAACATAGACATTTTTATTAAATAAAAATTACAGCCTGTCTCACATTGTTAAATTAGGGCCCTTGTGGCAATTTAATAAAAATTAGGAAGTTGGAAATTCTGTGTTCCTAAAGAACACATATTTTTAACAAGATCATATGAAATTGGAGTCAAATTTGTGTAGAAGCCATAAAAGTTCAAATTCATAAAAATTGCTCCATTACTATTTAACCTAAATAGAGAGTTATTGTTATTGTGTGCTGAAGTGTGACGTCAGAATGAGCAGGTGCAGGTGCTTTTTGCCTATTCTTTAGAACCAGTCTTACTGTTCTTTCTAGTCTTGCTCTGCTAACAATAGATAACCAGACACACACTGACCTGATTGCTCTAGCCTTAAGTTACTGTTGCTATCTAGATACAGCTATGATGTGCCGCTGTCTTGGTAAACCTTTTTGTTTTTCTCCTAGGTCAGCTGAGGGAACAGATCAGTTACCTGAAGGGTGATAACTTTTTTAGATTTACGTGTTCTAATTGTTCAGACGATGGCAAGGAGCAATATGAAAGACTGAAGCTAACATGGCAGCAAGTAAGTGAAAAGCTCTGTTCTACCTTCTTTCCCTGGAAATAAGACAGTGTCTTATATTAATTTTTGCTCCCAAAGATGCGCTAGGTTTTATTTTCAGGGGATGTCTTATTTTTCCATGAAGAAGAATATGGTACACATTTATTGTTGAACAACAAAAAAAGGAAATGTATTACTGGTATACGGTACGATAGTAGTTGTCATCACAAACCAGCATAACCAGACAAACTGTGAATCCTACAGTATCAAGAATTTCTTGTTACTACCATTATTTCCATGTACAACAATCTATGGTACATTTACTCATAATCTATGGTACATTTATTCGCACTTCCTGTCTGCTCTGGCTGCGCTGTACCCGCCGCTACGGTCCAGAGTCCAGAGTTATGTTAACTGCAGGGGTCCTTATTATTGGGGAGGTCTTATTTTCAGGGGGATGCCTTATATTTCAGCGAGAGGCAAAGCTGTAAGTAGGTCTTATTTCTGGGGGATATCTTACTTTTGGGGAAACATGGTATAATTCATGTGGTTGTTCCCAAAGGAATTTTTTTTGGGGGTATAAATAGCTAGAGAATCAGTTGTTTTGAGGGATGTTATACCAAATTCAGTGTCATCGAGTTGATTCCAATTCATAGTGACTCTTAGGACAGGATAGAACTGCCCCTGTGAGTTTCTGAGACTATTGTTGTTGTTATTGTTGGTAACACTTCTTTTATTTATTTATTTTAACAGTTTTATTGGCATATAATTCACATATCGTACAATCATCACTACAATATTAGAACAATTGCTTTTTTCTTGTACTCCCTGTTATTAGCTCCCCATTTTCCTCCAGCCTCCTCTGCCATACTCCCAAGGAACTATTAATCCAGTTACTGTCTCTATCGATAGACCTATCCTGAATTTCACATACAGAAAAACCTACCCCAAAAAACCAAACCTCCAACAACAACAGAGGAAAACCTCAATTGATAACAAAACTTAGCAGGAAATATTAAAAACTATAACAGATTTAAAATGGGTCAGAGGGGGGAGATTAAGTAATAAGTTAAAATTTATTAAGGTAAATTTTAACCGAACTGTCTCTGTAGCAGTCTACTTTCCAGTGGGCTCGTCATGGTAGCAAGGCTGTTCCATCCCTGGTCTGTGGTCAGAGGGGTCACCAGAGGCTTCATGTAGATGTATTTCCCTTTTTCTTTTTTAAACCGAAACAACTTAAAAATGTGTCAAAAGGGAGAACAAATGATAAGATATTACATTTTAACCTAACTACATCTTCTAATTGACTTTACAGCTCTTGCTGTCTAATAGCAAGGCTGTTTATATCCAGATTCACTAGAGGTTTAATCCATGTGTAGAGCCTGCAAATGGATTTTGGGCTTCTATCGTCATCCACAGCCTTCTGCTAACTGGGTGTTCACAATTTAAGCTTTGACACCATTCCTTCCTTCGAATTTGAATTTTATTATTTACAGTCCTTGGATACCCTGGCTGGTGTGCTTCTTCCATGTGGACTTAATTGAGCCTTACTTAGGTGGTTTCTTGTTTTAGAGAAGCCTTTAAGACCCCAGATGCTATTCTTTCTTTTTTTTTTCCTCTCATTTACTTTTTTTTAATAGTAGGAATTTAATACATATAATATTTCATTTTTTCAATCACGTCAAGTAGAATTGTACAATTGCTACCTCAGTCGGTTTCCAACCATTCTTTTTCTACGTGGACTCCTTGATATTGTCTTATTCTTTCTGGTAGTGAGGTACCATCTGGTTTGTTCACCATACTTTGCTCATATCTTCAGTGATCTCGTCATGAGGGCAAGCATCAAGCAGGACCATGTCATAAGAGCTAATTGTACTTAGACTGGGGCTAGAATTAAGTGCAAGTCCCAAATCCATCCATATTCCTATGGTTTATATATGCCTCTGGTTAACTTTAGAGATATAATTATCATTTTATGATAGAGAGCTTAACAATCATCCCCCTGGGGCATAAGGTAATTGTGTTGATGGTGTCATTAATTTAGCCAATGGTGAAGAATTTAAAACATTTTTGAAGAAAGGAAATTATACAAGTACAAGCCAGCTGTGAACCACAATACATAAATAGTTGACTTGGGAGGGAGGGGAAAAATGAGGACCTAATGTTGGGGGTTTAAATGGAGAGAAAATGTTTTGAGAAACGATGTACAAATGCGCTTTATACAATTGATGTGTGTATGGATTGGGATAACAGTTGTATGAGCCCCTAATAAAATGTTAAAAACTAACTAAATAAATAAATAAATTGTTGACTTGTCTTGATTAAATTCTTAAGGGACTGGACACTATTTATACATACAATGGGGGTTGGTGATAGGGCAAAACTTTCAATAATATTCATCACAAAGACAGAACCATGCCTGCCAGATGCTATAATAAAGCAAAGAGGGCATTAACATACTAAGTATATGGTGATCCCGGGTCACCATTCATTGGGCACCCTCAAGGCAAGAGAGCCAAATCAAAGTCTAAAGACCACCAGTTCTATCACCTTGGAATGGCAGCCATCTGCTCCTTTTATCACTGGAGTTCAGCCTTAAGTCCAAGGGCTGCAAGTGAGTTTGCGGTAAAATCCAGTTTACTTAGTGGTGTTTCCATGTTGTGTCCTTGTGTGGCCTATAAAGGACAGAGTCCAAAGTCCCAGTCTCAGACAGTCACACATTAAAGGAGTAAAAAGTCTCATCTAGCTCCAGCCGAGCGCCTAGTGGTCTCAGACTGTGACCCTGTGCTTTGCAGCCAAACCTGTAACCCACTACCCCACAAGATTAGATTGTGCCCTCCCAAATTATGTGTTATTTCTGACCATTGTACCTATGAAAGTGATACTTTTGGGAAATAGTTTTTCATCTGTTGCGTTAGAGAGGTCATACCAGTGTAGGATGGATCCTAAACGTAATCACTTTAATTTTGAAAAGAAGGAAGACAGGCAACAGAGACCGATGCATCTACAACCCCAGGAACACCATACAATGTTGGCAGTTCTAGGATGTGAAGTAGACCAAGAAGGACCTCCCCCTACAGTTAGGCCCTCAGTTTCGATTTCTGACCTCCAAAATTGTCAGAGGGAGCCCTGGTAATGTAGTAGTTCCGTGTTGGGCTGCACTCCACATGGTCCACAGTTCAAAACCGCCAGCTGCTCTGTGGGAGAAAGGGGGCTTTCTACTCCTGTAAAACCGTTACTGTCTCAGAAACTAAAACAGTTCTACCCTGTTCTGTCGGGTTGCTGTGAATCGGCGTCAACTTGATGGCAGTGAGTTTGATTTGGGGTTTGGAACTGTATGGAAATAAATTTCTGTCCTTTAGAGCCATCCATTTGTGGCATTTTGGTTATGGCAGCTCTAGTTCACTAAGAAAAGGAACAGCTTGATTTCACTCTGTAAGAATTGTATAGAAAATATATGGATAAAAGGGTTCTTGGTACTTGCTACTGACTTTGTGTACTGGGCTTGAGATTCTTAAAGGTCTCACAGAATTAAATTTATATGTAATTCTAAGCTGATTTCATAGAAAACAGGTTTACATTTTTATGGCAGCCATTTTTAAAACTAAAATTATTTCTAAAAACGATTATGATGTGGATGATTTAAAAAAGCAGCATAACCCAGATTCGCTACATTTGAAACCAGATTTTGGAATATTTTTTGTTTGATAAATACTTATATCTAGTCTTTTAGTCTTTTAATCCTGATCACTGGATTGTATTATTATTGTTATTTTAGTTTTTATTTATTTATTTTTTAAAAACATTTTATTAGGGGCTCATACAACTCTTTTTT